AGCAGCGGCTGAGGGGCGATGGGGGCAGCGCTGAGCTGATCCCGCTGAGGGAGGCCGGGCAGAGGCCACGGTGGGGTGATGGTGGTGGTGCTGTCCCATGATTGCCACCCGGTCGCCTCCTGCAGAGGGAGGCCAGACTCTACAAATGGTAGCTGTTATTATAGAATTTGGACATCCCCTGAGGGCTCCCGGATTGTGAGAGGGTGCAGGCTGGGCTGAGGGCCACCCCCAGTGCCTGAATTTTCATGCACCAGGCCTCTAGGGTAAAACATAAATGACAAACTGTGATAAGTGGTATAGAGAAACAAAGAAGGGAATTGGAAAGGCTTTACAAGAGGAGGAAGACTGGGCTAGATGGATATGATCGAGGAAAAACTCTCAGAGAAGGTAAAAGATAGGGGTGGGAAAGTATTCAGGAGAAGCAGCATGTGCAAAGGCCCTGGGGTGGAGGAGGTGTTGACTTACTGAGAAAGAGAACTGAAATTGAGCCAGTGTGTCTCGGGCATATGGTACAAGGGGAAAGAGGCAGAGGTTGAGAGCAGAGACACAGCTAAAAGCTAAATCATGCTGGGCCTTGGTAATTTTATTTTATGTGAAATGGGAAACCATTGACAAGGTTTCAAATGATGGAGGAAATAGCTTCTTGGGCTATTCTACCCTGAGCCTTTGAGTTAGAACTCCAGGTAGTTTGCTGAGTACTTTCACATACTTGAACATATAAGCGCAAGATCAATCCTCGTTACCAACACTGAGGGAAATCTGAAGATTAGGCTGAGCCCATTTTCCTGTCTGTCACCTTAGAAGTTTACATTGAAAACAAGGGATGGCTTTATTAGTGGAAGGTCACGCCATCTTCCATGTGTAGTGAACGACAAACTTATGATGCTGATGGTCCTTTGGGACTGAGAAATAGGAAAGAACAGAATGGGGTTTTTCTTTCTTTTTTTAAAAAATATTTTTATTCATTTCAGAAAGGAAGGGAGAGAGAGAGAGACATCAATGATGAGAGAGAATCATTGATCGGCTGTCTCCTGCACGCCCCCTATTGGGGTTGGAGCTTGCACCCCGGGCATGTGCCCTTGATCAGAATTGAACCTGGGACCCTTCAGTCCACAGGCCGATGTTCTATCCACTGAGCCAAACCGGCTAGGGCCAGATTGGTCTTTTCAACAGAAAGGTATACGTATAGAACTGAAAGTCTCTGAACTTGAGTGTATCTAGGAGGAAAATATATTGTTGGAGGACTTTGTTAGCTTCCTGCAGTTTTTTTTTCTCCTAAGACAGTCAAGAATTCAGAGCACAGTTTTCAGCAAGAATGTGAATAAAACTTTCTGTTCTATTGTGCTTTCTGTTTTAAAATTTTTGTTCTGGGCAGACTCCTGCCACTGGGCAAGAAATGCTAATTGGACATTTGATTCATCTGGACAGCTGTGAATGGAATTTTTGCTAACCAGCAGCAGATGCGGACCTAAAACAGCATGGCAACTGGCCACTGGCTTGGATGGGATGTGAGCTGCGTGTGCCCAGGCTCCACGCCACAAGCATCTCAAAGTCTTTTTTCCCTTGAAAGATGTTTATTACATATGTCTATATATTGGTCTTAGTCATTGTAAAGGGCCAACCCATGCCATTGGCATGGAGAGAGAGAACCTGTCATAGCATGTATAATACTCCAGAGAATGAATCGACAAAATTAGTTGGGAAATGCTTGCTTTCCCGTTGAAAACTCAGAGCAGATGTTAGCATTATTAACAGAACATTGCCTACTTGCAGTTCATATCCTGGATGGAGCTGTGTGCCACTTGGTCTCCAAGTCATACTCTTTAGTTTATTTAGGAATGAATGCCTTTCGAAATGAACCACCCCAAAGCAGGAATTCGGTACATTCAGAAGATGATACTGATCGCTCTTGTCTCCTCTTAAGTCTGATGAATTGGGGAACTGATTTCATACCAGAGGCTGGCTCATTTAAAAGTAGTTATATTTAACCAGGACTGAACCCCCCAAAATCGCTCATGGAATTGACAAGAAACTAACAAAAACATGGGTTCTATCTCCAGAGATTTTTATTTCAAACTTCTTCTTGGATTTTGATGTACCCTCCTTGTTGAAAATCCCTCGTCAAAATAAGACTTTAAAAGGAAATCGTTTAAGATCCAGAGCTTTAGCTCAATGGGGTGTATATGAACATTTGCAGCACACTCATGCATGATATAGTTCCCGTACTGAAGAAGGCGGGACATCAAAGGGCGTGGCATTCCCAAATCCACTGCCCTGGGACTCCCCTACAATGATCCGCCCTGTACTTTGGGCAGAACCAACGAAATGTGAACATGAAGGAACTTCGAAAACTGGAAAGGGCCTCGGAATTGGAAGGTCTCCGGTCGCTTAGGACAGGAGGCTGGAGAGGCGACAGACCGTCGCCCGGCTATCACCCACGTGAGCTTTTCACTGCTGCGGTCTTCCTTGCTCTGAGTAAACTCCATCGTGTGTGAACGAGTCAGCAGATGATGCATTTATTTTGGAACACGTTAAGTTTTTTTACCAGCTCTATTTATTTTCCGAGGGCATCACTGTATCACATTAAGGCCTCGAGTTGTTAACAGTACCAGCCGGCACTGCAGGCATCACACGTTCGTGGCGTAAAAGCTCGGGGGAACAGTGTGGACTCTGCCATCCAGACCCCAAGGCTGCATCTCCTTCCTCCCGGATGTGCTCTGCGTTCCTCCCTTGGGAGCAGATCCACCGGCCCCTCTTCTCTCTGATTTATCATGTAACTTGGCATCTCTGCAATTTATTTTGTTCTTCTCCAGTGGACTCTGAGGTCTTGGGGTAGAGAGTCTTCATCGTTTCTTTGTTCTCTCTGTCTCCTAGTGCTCAGCACGTAGTAGGAATGCAAGAAATAATCTGTAATTTGAGTGATGGAGGAGAATATAACATCTACCATTTCATCCTTGTTCATTTATCGTCGGCATCAGTGGAACTTTCAGGTGAGCTGTCTTTGAGAGTACAGACCCTGTGTTCCCTTATTCCACCACTGTGTCCTTCAAAACGCTCCTCACACAAGTAAGCGCATCTTTAGTGAATGTCTTTTCTGACAGCTTGTGAGCTCTCTGACAGCAAAGATTGTCTCTCTGTCTCTGTCTCTGTCTCTCCTTTTGTTAACCCTCACCCGAGGATATTTTTCCATTGTTTTTTTTTTTAGGGAGAGTGGAAGAGAGAGGGAAAGACAGAGAGAAACATTGATGTGAGAGAAACACATTGATTGGTTGCCTCCTGCCAGGGTGGACCCTGCAACCAAAGACCAGAATCAAACCTGGGATTCTTTGGTCTGAAGGCCTATGCTCTATCCACTGGACCAAACCTGCTAGGGCAGGGATTGTCTCTCTTATTCCTTCCCATATAGTCAGGGCTCAGAACACTGTCCATCACACAGTAGGTGCTCAATAAACATCTGTAGAATTAAAGTGAGTGATGTGACATAGATTCCAATTTTGGAGGATTTCTACTGCTATATTGTGATTTCCAAAACATATATATTTGGTCACTCAAATGACCAAATATATATTTTTCATAAATGTATATATGATCTTCATCCACAATCCTTGCTTCATATCTCCTAAAACCCTAGGAATTTCCTAAGTGACGAGAGCCCTAAAGTGTCTTTTGTTCTGTTAATGAGGTGACAGCTGGATGGCACCTAAGGGTGGGGGCTGGTGGCCAGTGGAGCCAACCATGTGATTGGAGGGTTGTAACTTTCAGTCCCAACTTCCAGGGAGGGGAGAGGGATGGGAAACTTTTTAAGGAGAGAAAAGGTATGTCTGAAAACATTCAAGGTCAATTTGCTCTGAGCAGATTCCAATAGCTTTCCTGTCCTGACGCAGTCATTTTGTGGGAAAGGACTCTGCATGACCATTGCCCGGAAGGAGAGGAGCCTTCCGTGGGGTCCTTTGAAATTGGGAGTGGTTGCAGTGCTCTTGACGGAGACAAATGGGATGATCTGGTCACCGAGAATGGAGTGGCAACCGTGATAAGGGCCCCTCTGCTAATGGCAGTGTCCTCTCCATCTAAGCCACATGGAGCTCTAGAAAGACTCGGGTGCGTTTCTCTGGTTTAGACCAGACGGACAGCTTATTTTAAATGCCGGCTCACCATATGATTTATTCATCGTGTCATGAAACACAGAGAGCCTCTAGTCAAAAGTCCTCTTTGTACGTGAGGAAAATGTGACCCAGAGAAGTCAAACCATTTCCCCAAAGTCACACAGCTGATTAGCGCCCAGTCTCCATGAAACCAGTGCTGACCTGCCTTAATCAACATTCATTCGTTTCTTCATTAATAATTACTTACTGAATGCTAATGATGGTATGCTAAGCACCTTGTTAGGCTATGAATTATTTTCACTGGAAAGGAAGTGTCCAGTTATGAGTTAAACTCTCACTGCTGTGGCATAACCTCTCTAAGCCTCAGTTTTCCCATCTGTGAAATGGAAGGGATAAGGACCCCTGTCAGAGAGACATCAAGAAGATTACATGAGATAATGCATTAGAGCTCAGCACAGCGTCCCCGGCACATTTACTACTGAGTTCACCGTGATGATTTAGTCCTCTGGGCTCTTCTGTCAGAGCAAAGATGTCTGTCCGTCCTAGAGATGGTCACGAAAGGTTGATGTCCTCTGGGGGCTCCCATCCTCTCTAAGTCCCTCTATATCCCTGACTGGCACGTCAACAGGAGGGCGCACATCTCCCTCACAGCCACCCCCTTCTCTAGATGCCCCTTCCTCCTCCTCCAGGCTCCTGGCAGCCTCCTGTGGAGGGAATCTGGATGTGTTCTCATTACAGCCTCATAACCTTGGGCGGGGGTGGGGAGTGGGGGGGGGAGCTTTGTCAATGGTAGGCCCTCATTTCCTGAATCCATTCAGAGAGGGAGAGGGGCCAGCTCCCGGATGGCATAGCATCCAACTCTGAGCCCGGCCAGGTTTGGCTTGGCTTGCAAGATCTGAGACTTGTCATAATATGTCTGGCATTCTAAAAATGGGATCCATACAGCCCTGCAGTTAAAAAAATAAAATAAAAAAGCAAAAAGCAGTACAGCCAGCACATCAGCCCTTTGGCAAGAACCAAGGGAGGAGCTCAGTTGAGCACATACTTGGCTGTGCATGTTCCTAGCAGCATAAAAGAATTTTCTTGGTTCCTTCTGAAGCCTGATCACCCTAATGTAATAAGTCATCTTCTGGGCAAGGGTTCTGCACAGGCATGAACATGCTGCCTCTCTGGTTTCCTTTTGCAGATCATCCCCCATGAGTGAGTGTGCAACCCACTCTTGTGCACAACTCGTTGGAGGGAAAGCTGGCCATTCGGGGCGCAGAGCTGATGGCAAAACATTCCCCGAGGGAGGCAGCCGCTCAGCAGAGGTCTGGACCAGATGTGCAGAACACTCTGCCTGCCTAAGGCGGCTCCAGCCAGCAGTGAATTCCTGAGCGCCACAGCCTCTGTGGCTCATGTGAATGGTTACTTTGTGTGCTTTCTTTTGTCCCTTTTGATTTGAGGAATGAACTCTTTTTATTTGGGTTCTCTTATGGAAATGCTGAAGGATCCTATCTTGCTTTTTTTTTGGTCATCCATGAAAATGAAGATGTAGTTTTGAAGAGAAAATAATACAGAGAAAGAGAATCTTTTGTAGGGGGGGACTATTTTTTTGTATAGTAATTCCCTCTTATCCGTGGTTTTACTTTCCATGGTTTCAGTTACCTGCGGCCAACCATGTTCCAAAAATATTAAACGAAAAATTCCAGAAATAAATAATAAGCCATTCATAAGGTTTAAATTGTATGCTGTTCTGAGGTCCGTGATGAAATCTTGAGTGATGGGGCATTGCAGGATGTTTCACCCTAAGTATAATTTTTTTTGCTGTGGATTTTTTATAGGTACCCTTTATAAGATTAAAAGAGTTTCTTTCTATTTCAAGTTTGTTATGAGATTTCAAAACCTAAAATAAAGATGACTTCTGTTAAATGCCTTTTCTTCCAAAATGAGAATATGATAATTAGCCTTTATTTTGTCAATGTGGTGGGTTAATTGTTCTTTTTCTTGACTATTAAAACAATCTTGTTTCTTGGAATAAAGTTTCCTTGGTCATAATGTATTAATCCTTTTAAACATTGGTGGATATGGTTTGCTAATATGTTGTGTATAATTTTTGCCTCTTCATGGCTGAAACCATCCTGTGATTTTTCACTTCTTGTAATGTCCTTGTCAGGTTTTTGGCATAAGGATTTTGCTGGCCTCAGAATGAGCTTGGGAGTGTTCCATGTTACGCTGGTCTCTGAAGCAGTTTTTGTGGAATTGGCTATGACTTCCTTAAATGTTTGGTAGACTATACTGGCGAAACTAATTGCTCTTCATTTTTCTTTGAGGAAAGTTTACATTATGGATTCAATTTCTTTGATGCTATAGGATGATTCAGATACTATTCTACTTTTCCTGTGTTAGTTTTTAAAAGTTGTGTTTTTAATGTAAGCTTTTGTATTTTATTTTAATAACCTAAAATTGGTATATTTTCTTACTCTTTTTAATATTTATAAGATCTGTAATGATTTTCCTTTTTTCTTTCCTAACATTGGTACTTTTTCCTTTTTCTCTTTTTTCTTGCTTAGTCTTGGTAGACAGTTATTGATTTTATTACTCTTTCCAAGAATCAATTGTAGTCTTTGTTAATTCTAACTTTGTTCTCCTCTTTCCTTAATTTCTGCTTCTACTATTTTTTCCTTTATTCTATTTTCTTTCATTATAATTTGCTTTCCTATTTCTTATTTATTGAAATGATTGCTTATCTCATTGCCTCTTAGTCTTTTTTCTTTTACAATGCATACATTTAAAAGTAGAGATTTCCAGTAAGATTGATCCCATAAGTATTTTTACATACTGTTTTCTTGATCTTTCAGTTTAAAATATTTTCTTTTTTTTTCAATCCTCACCCAAGGACAATGCTCATTGATTTTAGATAGAGAGAGAAACATTGATGTGAGAGAGAAACATTGATCAGTTGCTTCCTACACGCGCCCCAACCAGGCATCAAACTGGCAACTCAGTCATAAGCCCTGACCAGGAATCGAACCTGCAACCTTCCTGGTGTGTAAGATGATGCTCCAACCAACTGAGCTACCTGGCCAAGGTGAAAATATTTTCTAATTTTTAAATTTTGATTTATTAATTTAGCTACACTAGATTTTTCAGTTATTCTTTACATGGTATATCTTTTTTCATTCTTTTACTTTTAACATATTTCTTCTTTTCCATTCTTTCTATATTCTCAATCTAAGACTCTAATTATACATGTTAGCCATTTTTAGTGAATTTCTTAGGCCCTTGAGTCTCATTTATATTTTTATCCTTTTGTTCCTTCTTGCATGATTCTAGATATTTTCATCTATCTTCCTGTTTTAAGTTGTGTTTAGATGCTGTTAAACACAAGCATGGAGTTCTTAATTTTGGTTACTGCATTTTTTTTTTTTTTAGTTCTAAAGTTTCTCTGTGATTATTTTTGTAGTTTCCATTTATTTGCCATAATTATGAATCTTGCCTTTTGTCTTATAAGCCTTGTTATACTAAAGGCTATGACTAATGTATGATTCTATTATTGAGAACTCCTTGGACCCTTTTCTAGTTTCTGTGTTTTGTCTTGGTTATTGTGATTCTTGACTTGTCTTCGCATTGTGTCTTGTTCCTTTTGATTGTGTGCTGGACATTGTATGATGAAAACCAGGGGGAAAGGCTTATGACGATGATCTCTTTCTTCAAATAGGATTTATACTTGCTTATGGAAGACAGCTAGGGACACTAGCAATTCAGGGTCATGTTAATACAACTTCATAGATTGAAATGACTTGGATCTTGGCTTCAATATTGTAAACAGTTAATCTTCTTCCATATTATCATTATTCATAGGTTAGTGAGCCTTTAGAGTTTCAAAAGCAAGTAAAATGAACTCCATTTGAATGGAGGTATGGGCAGAGGTGGAAATCCAACCTGAACTCACTTCCTCACCCCACAATTCCTAAGAAGGCTCATTACAGTTTGATAACCAGTGGTCTTGATGGTCGCTTTAGTTCTAGCTATCTCCTTACAATAAAAGAATAAATGCCACCTTCCAGTCATATAAAATGATAGTCATTTAAGGAAAGATGACTTTTTCCCTTCTCCAGGTGGGAGATGGAGAGCGAAAAGGAAGCTAACGTTTTTGGAGGTCTTATTAAGTGCCAGGCACAGAATCAGGCACTTCCTTAACCCTCTGAAGAGCTATGAGGAATTGGCTTTATGCCCAACGGAGGGAGTACCCGGAGCTCAGAGATGAGTATCTGGCTCAAGGTCATGTGGCTGGTATGTGGCCAGGCTGCATGTCCAGCTCAGCTCTCTCCAGCTCCACTCCCATCCATGGAGCTGGTGTGCGGAAAACCAGGCACCTCAGAAAAGGAGGTAGAGGTCTGGGTCCAGGAAAATGTCTTGGAACATTTTTTTTTTAGTATGAATATATATATCTTTTTGCCTTCAGACTTAAACACTTTTTTTCCTTGATATTTAGTGTGATATTGGAGAGATTAATGAGATGTCTCAGCCCTAGGATATGGCTTCTTTTAATTTATAGTCTAAGCTTTTCTTTGCCTGGTTACCTACACTCACAGCCCTGGCCTAGAGGGCTGGAAAGAAGCTATTAATTAGGCTGAGTGTATGTATGGTGTGGGTGTGTGTGCGTGCGTGTGTGTGAGTGCGCTCTAGGGATCAATTTGTGGCATTCCCCTATTTCTTAGTTACTAACATAGATTCCCACTTTTCCCAGGAGTTTTAGGGGAAACAGTCCCAAGTAGTGAGAACCCTTGCCATGAACTAAATCTGTAAGATGTTAAATTTTTTTCTATGGGAAAGAAAAAATGGTTTGTGGCTTTTGATTTCATTACCATTATACGGATGACTGTTTCTGGTTTTGAGGGGGATGTGATAGTGACTAGACAGACACAGAATGCCAAGTGCACAGTAATAACGATAGCAACAGTATTGCTACCAGGGCTCCACTGAGTAAGTGGGATGGTTAATTTTATGGGTCAACTAGACTGGGCCAGGGAGCACCCAGATATTCGCTTAAACATGAATCCTGGGCCTGTCTGTGGGGTGTTTCTGGATAAGGGTAACATTTGAACCTGCAGATTGAGTGAAACAGATTGATCTCTCAATGTGGGTGGGCTCCATCCGCTCCACCGAGCCCTGACTGGAACAAATGGCCGAGGAAGACAGCATCCTTCTTCGCTGTGTTTGAGCTGGGACATCGGTTTTCTCCTGCGCTCGGGCTGGAACTTGGGTGTCCTGGTTCTCGGGCCTTTGGATTCAGACTGAAACTGCACCTCCCGGGTCCTGGTTGCGGGCGGCGGGACTTCTCAGGCGCCACCATTGCATAAACCTCTGGGTTTCGCGTACTCACAACTGTAAACCCACCTTTGCCCCACCCTGTACACATCTCCTATTGGTGCTGATTCCCTGGAGAACCCTAATGTGGTGGGTGATTCCCCGGAGCAGGCCCTGCATGGAGACAGGTGCCGCATGTGACATCTCATTTAACTCGATCCTCCAGGGTCTTAGGAATTCGGTCTTCCTGTTATAACCACTTGCAGACGGGCCTGACAGCAGTTAAGTAACGATGCCAAGGCCGTAGCTTAAGTGGGGGGACAGGTGCACACGCACAGCCATGTGGGTTTGAGTAGGGCAATGAATTGATCTGAATTTATGTGTTAAATGATAACGCCCACATTATCGCCTGCCAGGGGAATTAAATGAGGCAATAGGGGTGAATTATTTGGAACAGGGTGCGTACACCGTAGAGACTCCGAAACAGTAGCTTCTGCTGTTTTATTTCCTGTTGTGCTACAACATTCAGAGGCTTTGCAGCTTGTGGAATAGATGTAATTCCTCCAACGTGATGTATCACTAACATCTGAATTTGATCATTTGTTCATCTCCATTAAGCCCCAATGATACTTCATGTTATCCTGGGGGAGAAACGGGATTACTGCGACATTTAAAATTCTGCACAAGCCAGGGAGAGGGAGGCGGCACGCTCCTGGAATCGGGGCGCAGTCCGGGTTAGACGGGCGTCCGACAGCTCCAGGTGTGCACACCTGAGGAAGCCCGCAGCTGCCGAGGGCACCAGGAGGCGCTTCATTTCCCAAAAGGTGTTTGGTGCTTCCTTCCACTCGAGCACGTTCCTTCTGCTCTGATAACCGCTGTCATCTTCCATCACAATCAGAGATGTCAGAGGGATTTTTCCAGGCATATGGCATTAATTTAGTTTTCCCTCTGCGGTCCTAGAGCGCTTGCAACAATGAAAACAAAACAACGCAGAGCGCTGCTCAGCCATCTATCAATTCATCTTTATTGGACAGCGGTCCCGTGCCACCCGGCGAAGGACCGGCTCTCCATTTGGACATCCGGGGAACGCACACACTCCTGTCCGGGGAGCGGCCCATTTCCCCTCCGCTCACTGTGCAGATGTCCTTGGGAAATGTAACAATCGCAGCCACGTTTTCTTTTCATCATGGCATTCCTGGGAATCCTGAGTGCTGGACAGTTGCCAGAGCCTGAGCACGGCCATCCACTGCTTGCTCAGTCCAGGGAGGGAGGCTGGCAGCCCCAAGGATGTCTGTCGGGTGGGCCACAGACAGAGGCTCAGGGATGTTGGGACGCTTGGCCAGGCTCAGTCACAGCAGGGGCCACTCTGAAGGAACTCCCTCCACCCTTGTTCCTTGCCCATCCACCCTTCACACCTTGGAGAGCTTTTAAACAAATCTGGGTATGCCATCGTCCTGCTTCAAATCCTTGCGTTCCTCACCCTTGTTCTTAGAAAAATGCCCAAACTCTTACTGTGGCTTACAAGGCCCTTTCAGATCTGACCCTGCTCACTTCTCCAGACTTATTGCAGGCCATTCCCATTGTCCCCCACCCCCCCTCCCCCGAAGCTACGTTCTGGCTACACTGAACCCCACTGTATCACGCTCTCTCGTCTCCCCGCCATTACTCAGGAGGCTCTGCCACCTTCCCACTCCCCCACATACCTGGCTAACACTAACTATTTAAGTCTCCTTTTAGACAGAGCTTCCTCCAAGAAGCCCTGCCTGATCTCTCCTGTCTGGGTTAGATTCCTCCTCTGCTGGGTCTATTGGCCTCTCCTGCTGGGCTGGCTGCTCTGTGAGAATAAAAACCGCGTGCACCTCATCCATGCGCAGCACCCATGCCCCTGAGGGCCTGCGGAATTACCCATCAACCAGTGAGTGGTTTATGAACTCATTCTGATACTTCTCGGGTAGCAGATCTCCGCTTGCATCCTAATCGGGCATCGCTGGACCACTCCTACGCCCTAGCCTCCATCTGCGCCCTCAGCCCCAGGAGGTGGAGCCCTGTGGCCTGCCTCTGGGGCTCTCCTGCTGGGCACTGTGGTCAGCCTTCCTCCCAGCAATGGGAAGCCCCTGCAGGAGCAGGGAGGAAGGGGGGAGGACAAGGGCAGGACAGCCCCGCCTGTCAGCTCCTTCCTGCTCTGATGCCCTTTCTGACAGTAGGTGTGTCCTTCCCCACTGCAGTCCCCACCGGGCTTCTCCTCCGTGATCCAGTTCCCAGGGTCTCTGCAACATATGTCTTCCCGATCCCTCAGTCCTACAAGCGGAAATGGCTTCTACTGCTAGTTTCTGGGTGCTCCTCCATCACTTGCCTATGGACCTCGCCTCCTGTCTGTAAGGCGCGTCGGTATTTGGACATCTGTGTCAGTCTCCAGCTCCTGCCAGGTTTCTGACTGGTCGAGTATTCCATGTGGTACAGATAAGATGCTGATTTTCAAATTCTCTGGGATGGTTTCTGGACCTTTAGATTCTTGGAGGTAATTCTCCTGACAGCTCCAGATTGCTGCCTTATAACAGACAAGGGTTACCAGAAGGCTTGCAATAAAATTTCCCCTCTCTGCTTAACTTTGAGCATTTCCTCGATTTCCCTACTGTTTCTCCCCTAATCCACACAAATACTCACCTCAGGGGAACCAAACACAATGCAAGACGTGTCTTATAATCGATGATGCTGGCCAGGCAACCATAATGAAAT